AATTGTCAAGCACCCTCGAGGCAGTTACACAGTTTTCTTGTTCCCAGTGGTTTGTACCCTATTATTGTTTTGTTTCCCCGCGGCGTCGTAGGTGCCGGGTTTTGAGACCACGGGCTCCCCATTTTTCGTGGACTATAGAGCTAATGTGAGAAACAACAACGGTGCTTATAACTGCCTCAGGAAGTGAAAACACCAGAAAATCAATCAAGTCGACGCAGCTGCATCAGTACGCAAGGAAGTAAGCACAAGATGCCGAAAACCCTTAGCAGGATGCAGCGCACCCTTCATGCGACTCGCCGAATATCTCACGGCGCTTCGCGCTTGGTGATGTGAGAGCCTGGTCCGGTGAGAACTCTGGCGTTCCCATCCCGGCTTTGTAGGGATGCGAGGTCAATGGTCTAACGACTACGGCATGCACGACTATGAGTACACCCCCCCCCCCGAGGCGCATACCACGCAAGTAAACAATGCCAAGGCTGTGTTTTCTCATGACTCGTTGGAGTTGCCCAACATACTTTTTGTAGCAGTGTGCGCCGTGCGTGTGTACCTCAGTATTCCAAATACGGGTAGCAAGTCCATCACGCCGTTTACCCGGCCGAATGGAAACGAGAGTGAGGACAATGTTTTGTGCTTGTTGCAACGTTGGCGGCAGAGGATTCAAACAACAATTGGCAACATACCCAGAGTCCACAGCATGATGACGGGGAGAACGTGATCAGCGATTGGCGCAAGCCCCATTCTCTCCATCCCCGCTATTAAGAAGACAAACACCAAGCGCGCCCGACAGATAGATTTAGATGGAACACCACACCACGGAGGCTCGGGTATCATAAAAGACGGCCGTGAGACCAAGTCACAACAAGCAGACATGTCGGCGCCACACACTCTTGCCAGAGCAACACGCCGAACTACTGCTGCGACGTCACGCATCCGAAGCCACCCTTACCGCAATTTCTCGTAGTGTACGACTCTCCCTCCCACCCCACCCACACAGACAAAGGGAGAAAATCTCGATTTTTACACAAGCGAACGTACCTCCAGCGGCCGTCGCCCAATGCTCTGTCGCAACAACAACCAAAACATAAAAAAAAAAACACCATGCGTTGTTTGTATCCCATATCCAGCCGCACACGGAGACATAACGATATTCAAACCTTCGAGAGCTTCCACACCGCCTGCTCACAGCTTTACTCAAACCCTCTTAGCAAAAATACATGGCATCAGCAGTAGCTTGGTGTCTGAAAAGGGGTCAACCATTAGCTGCGATTCCTGCGTACATTTTCAAGTTCACGACCGCTCACGCTGGCAATAACAGAGGACGCTAGCTAGTCCAGCTGCCGGGGGCATGGAAAAATAATCAAAATAAACACGACAGGACAGATCCACAGACATGATGCAACTAACCTTAAATGTACACGTCTAACATAGCCAGCCTTACCACATGAGCTCGCGAACAAAAGATACCTTCATGAAAAGTTCCAGAGAGCCCAACAAGGACATTTGACCACAAGGCGGCAATACCCTGGGGGGGGGGGGGGGNGGGGTAGAAGCAACAGCATCAGAAACCAGCAAGAGTACAAGACTACGATAAGAGAAGATATCCGGGCATCCAGGTCATGTGGCACGATCATCTTGGATCATTCATCCCCCCGGTCTTACCCTCATCGTCACCGCTGCTGCACTACCGTGCACACCTCCTACCGAAACACCAGGCACGTCTGCTGCCGTTGACCACCCTCACGCCAAAGTCCACCCGCCCACCACACGAAAAACAGCCAAGACTAAAAAAACACAGCGACAAACAAGCTGCGTTCCGCCTCGTCCTAAAGTGGCATCCATACCAAGCACGCCAAGCACCAACACCGTTCGATGCCGACTCTGCTGCCGACGTCCAACCTTCCTCTTACCCGCCGTGTTTTGCGAAGCTCTACCTATCCCTAAGCATGGAAGGTCACGCCTTGTCGCGGCGGCCGACGCGCCTATCTATTCCTCAGAAGACGATTGATTGGTTGATTCATTTACTTGGGCAAGAGCGGCTTTCCGCCTTCGACCTTCGCCTGTCCTTTCTGCGCCTCCGTGATCTTGACGTACGTGTACAGGCTTGACCCGAACAGCACCAAGAAGATTCCTACCATGGCCCATGGCGGAAACACAGCGCAACACGAAGGGCAGGGTGTGTGGAAAGAGCCAACACAAGCGGTAGGGAGGAGTCCATGAGACATCAACCATCGCGAAACACAGCACAACACGCTCGGTGAATTGTGTGGAACTAGATAATACAAGTGTAAGGGAGAGTCCATGAGACATCAACCATCGCGAAACGCGAGGGGAAGGGGATGTGGAAAGAGCCAACACAAGTGTAAGGGAGAGTCCATGAGACATCAACCATCGCGAAACGCGAGGGGAAGGGGATGTGGAAAGAGCCAACACAAGTGTAAGGGAGAGTCCATGAGACATCAACCATCGCGAAACGCGAGGGGAAGGGGATGTGGAAAGAGCCAACACAAGTGTAAGGGAGAGTCCATGAGACATCAACCATCGCGAAACACGGCACAACACGCTCGGTGGGGTGTGTGGAAAAAGAAATACAAGTGTTGGGGAGGAGTCAAGTCCACGACACGCCAAGAGACGCGACACAGAGCGAGCGGGTTGGCGAGCCGGCTCGAGCCTTAACACGTTGGTTTGAGTTGCAGTCGCAGTATGCCCTGGCCGAGGGAGAAGTAGGAGAACAACCAAAATAAAGAGTTTTACACGGACGCAAGGATACTAGGCAAAAATACACTTCCACAAAACGAAACGCTGCAGAAAGACAGTCCCTCTTCATCCATGTTGTGACCTGGCCTCATCTTACGATTGCACTACAATACGACTGTTTCCGCCAGAACCTCAAGGCTTGTTCCCACCGCAACACATTGACAGGACGAAAATGCGGCACATCACCAGCAGCAGCAGCAGCAGCAACAGCAGCATTGCTTGGAAAACTCGGTGTTCACACCGACCTACCAAATCTCTTGGTACCATATGTGATGGGGAGATTGTATAACATGACGGAGCCCCTCGATGCTCCGCCCAAAGTCCTTCTCGTGAATGGGCATGGCTCATTACGCGGAGTTCAAGCCACAACTGCGTATCGCTTCAAGCGGCGCCTGAATGATCAACCGTGTCCACACGACAACCCGGGCAAGCAACCAAGCATCACGATAGCCGCTAAACATTGACCTGACAACAAGAGTGCCGGCACACAGCAGCATCATCGTTCCCGCCGCAATACGTTGGACAGGCCAACAACAAGCTGCGGCACACAGTAGCAGCAACATCATGCCAGGTCCTGGCGGCGCTTCTCACCCACGCAAGCCAAGACGGTCGCCTCGTTATCCCAGATGTAAAACGCCATGATGCTCTGCACACCCGCCTTGGCAGTCCCCGATATGTTGTGGGTCAGCGGACTCGTGACGCGAATCTGCATGACGGAAACGATCCCCATCAAGAATCCCAGGACGCCCGACACAACCAGGCCCGTCACAATCGACCTCGAGAAAAGCGTACCAGTAGACGCTTGCTGCAGGAACAAAAACAGGGCACGGGTGCGGCGAGGGAAGCAAGTGCAGGTTCAAAGCCGAGGCGTGAAAAAGGTGAAATGAAAGCTTGCTTCACCATGTGGTCTGAGACGGCCATCCGTCCGACATTACATCTCAGAGGGGATGTTGGGTACAAGTACGGGGTGATTCAATCCTCAGGAGCGCGAAGATGAGTCAAGACCTTGTTTACCAGTCGAAGGGGCGCGCTGGCTTTCGCACTGCAGAAGGGGGTTCGATCGCCCTCTTAATCATCGGTGATACGAACACTTGTTCCCAAACCCCCACATCTCCGGATATCCTTCTCGAGTGCTGAGTACACTAACAGGGGAGGTCGTGCAAGTTTAAACAAAAGAGAGAGTACGAAAACCTTGTGCATACTGGTCTACTATGGCGATGAGCATCTAACAATACATCTAACCTGGATGTAGTATCGCGAGGAAAGTGCACGAAAAACGAACAGCAGCACACTCCGAGCGGGAATCCCTCGCAAACGCGATGTGCTACGTACAACCCTATAGACAGGAACTACGACGAGGAGCAAGAGACACGCAGAAAACAAGCACAACGGTTCATTTGTCAACGTGAGATACGCGTACAGTAGTAGCACCAACAGAGAGCGAGGAGACGCTCACCTCCCGCAGCATGGCTCCCTCGAAGTAGACAACGAACGGGATGAACAGAAGGCACGCGTTGGCATTGTTGATGAAAGTCAGCCGCCACGCGTCGTTCATCACGTAGGGGAGCGCCTGTCCGACGCCGCGATCCGAGGTTGTCGAAAACCCACGCCAACGGAGGACGGGAGGGGGAGGGGGATGAGTTCACCCACCCATGCCAAGAGAAGGAGGAGACCCAGAGGGATACAGCGGAGTTGGGGGTTGTCGGCGCGTGAGTCAAAAGGTGGTCGTTGGGGGGCGCCGCAGGCAGGCAGGGGGGGGGGCCAACACACACTCACAAAGTTTCTATGCTGTGCATGCCTCCATACTCGTAAACGATTTGCAATATCTTGCCTAGCTGTTGCTGAAGTATCATCCGTTGCGGTGACCAACCTGCCGGCCACGTCGCTCCTACAGCTGAGCTCGACAACCCTCTATGCCGCAAAAGTGTGGTGGCAGTGGTCGCTAGAATACGAAGCGAGTCTTGCGTGTGTTCGCGCATGAAAACCGATACCGGTACATCCCACATACACGTACCTCTCGCCAAGGAGGACAACAAAAAACGGGACGAAAACGAGTCGACTGGACAGAAACAAAATCGAGCTACAAAGAACCATGTTCGCCGGTGGTCTCCAAGGGGCAAAGAAAAGCAACAACTCAACTATTGCACTTCTTAATGGTAACGCGGCTGACATGCCTTGAGCAACGTTACACGCAGAACGGCCTCGAATATTGAGTTTACCTTCTTGGTGTAGATGGAGTTGAGACTGACAGACACACTGGAGATGAGCCCCCACTGCACCCCCAGGACCGAGAGCTGCACCTCCCCCTCGCAGCCTACTATGAAACCTGTAATGACGACCGCCAGGCAGGCGATGGTGCGGCAGCTAACCACGGAACCAAGAATCATTACGCTGAAAATCGCGTTGAACACGATAGTCAGCGACCTGGCCAGGGAGAGCAGCAGAGAGGTCAAGGGGGGAAGGGTCGCTTTCTCTCTCTCTCTCATTGTTTGGCATGCCGTAGTTGTAAGACCGTTGACCACGCGGCCTCGAGAAGAGGACGGGGCCCAGACGGAAAACGTGAGTTGGACGGTGCCACCTTTGTGAGAGACACGTGTAGATGACGAGGTGCGTCCAAGCACCAAAACGACTACTGTACGATACCCATCACATGCATAGAGAAGTTCGCGCACAGCAAAAAATAAATTGCCGCCGTTCAGTTCATGATTCATTTATCGTCTTCGACGACCCCAGGGCGGCCCGCCGGAAGCTAGGTGCGTACCCCCGTCATCGAGAGCCATCTCATGCCGGGATGAATTGCTACCCTCATCACCGGCGTCAGCAACAGCACAAACCAGCATAGCCCCCAAGACAGGGCTCGTTCCTCTCACCTAGCCACGTTGTAGAAGGACACCTCGACGTACTTGAGCGTGAGCTGGTTGGACAGGATCATGAGCACGAATATCATCGACAGCGGCAACACCTTGATCGCCGCGTCTCGGTCGTACCGCGCCTTCGGGAATCCCGCAAGGAAGGAAGAGTCCGGTGACGGCTTCCCGACCGCGTGACCCCCCTCCTCGGCCTTCTCCCTCGTCGCGCCGCTCTGCGTCTCGCGCATCTTCTCCCCCAGGGCCCCGCACACCCAGCAGATGACGCATGTCACGATGCACTGCGCAATCGTTCGTGCGTGTTGTCGCCACGCGGTGAGGCCAAGGCCAAGGCCAAGGCCAAGGCCAAGGCCAAGGCCAACGCCAAGGCCAAGGGATTTGTGGTGTGAGCACACGGTGTGGCGAGGTGCGAGGTGGTGAGCCGCGCAGCAAGGCGCTGAGGCACAGCAGGGGGGCACATCTACTCAGTGCACGGAAGCGATACCAAGCCAAATATCCCTGTGCTCTCGATCACGAGCATGAACAACACGGCGCTGTTTCCTACCGCGGCTCTGTGCTTTCGAAAGCAAGATATTTGAAGGGCAAGACGGAGTCGTCGCTGACGCACCCCAGCGCGACAACAGCACCGAACTTTCAAACAGCGCGGGCAGGCACCAACGTGTTCCAGAGAACGATGCGCTGGTGCGTTCATCAGAGTATCGGCGCGTTACCCGGATATGCCGGTGCCAACCGCTTGGGAGGGGGGGCGGGGGGGGGATGCCTTCAGAGCGTACTGTACAAATCGCGCACCAACTTCCATGGCACTACCACGGATAGCGAGGAATCGCCTGGGGTTCTCACGCAACTACCGATAGAGCAAGAGTGCCAACCCGGAACAAACTCGGCGGTCCGTCTTGGACGTATCTATTCATACCGAGTATCTTCAAAATTACATCAAAATTGCAGGGTTAGGCGCTAAATTGGCGACATGAAGCCTCTCCTTGGGTCAGCACTAGGGTTAAGGTGTAGGTACACCATTGATGGCGGTCGATCTCTCTTCGCGAAAGTACTGCTTTTATTCTGATCGTCTCCAGCGTCATGCACACTACGGCGACGTTGACCGTGGATTTTGCCGTCGCCCCGTCTCTTTGCGGGTGCATCCTGATCGTCTTCATGTACGCTTTGACGACATGCCTTCATAGTGAATTCGACAGATACCGCCCGAGGCCTCTCGTTTCGCGCACCTGTGACCAGGTGATGAAAATTGGCGCCGATTGTTCCGACAAGATAAACTTGTTGATGTACACCAAGGAGATGCTCACGACCCAGTACTGGGCAATCACGCCAGTGACCCGCAGCATCGCCTTGCTCGACTCCTCCCCCATCTTGCCTCGCCTCCGTTCGTCTCCTGGCTATTGGACGCCGCACCTCCACCCTAAACTGTATCTCCTTTCCTTTCCTTTCCTTTCCTTTCCTTTCCTTTCCTGAGCGATTCGCGAACATAACAGATCCGGCCGGTTCACCAAGAGTTTGTTCAACAGCAGTTCAGCACCAAAATTTCGGGAGGAGGTTGAGGTGCAGCCGTGAACCAGCCACGGGGGGTTGCGCGTTCTACTCTACGTCGAATGCGCGTACGGGAAAGTCGAGAGGGTACAAGGGGAAAGATAATTTGCCATTTTCACCATGAAGCGGTGAGATGGCCTGTCCTCGCTCGGGGATATGTAGCAACACAAATTACCGGCACCCCGCAGTAGTGGAGCTAAAGGGCCTCCGACACCGTGATCCTTGCGGATTGGTCAATGTATAAGATGCTGGCCGCGGTCAGCGCCCTTGCCCCTCCATGAATCTCGTTTACCTTTGGACAGGGGGAGGTCAAAGAAGGGGCTCGCGACGGGAAAGAACAGGGGGAAATCTCAACCAACACCCAGGTTGTGGCACTGCTCCCGGTGCCCAAAGCAGCAGGCCGAGTGGGTCTGTACAAGTGTGCAGCCTTTGTGTGCCGGGTGCTTCTTTTCTTTTTTCGAGCTTGCACTGCTGTAGAGCTGTGGCTCTGATGTGAGCACAGCCAAGTCCATCTACCGTATGTTGGCCACAAGCGTGCTTTCATCGAAAGGAAAAACGATGACCTCATAAGAAAAACTATCGAAGAAACTACACCGCAATGTTTTCTTACATGGTTCCGTCTTGTCCTCAGGTCGGTTCCTTTTTGGCGGGGGGGGGGGCCCCCCCCCCCCCCCCCCCCCCCCCCCCCCCCCCCCCCC